TTAGAATACTTCAAAAAAATATCATATATTGACCTTAACTGTCATGTTTAAGGCCCTCTTTGTATGAGTTATAGGTTCAACTAAACTAATTATTTCTTTTCAAAAATTTCTTATTTTAAACTTGTTTAAGCTTAAAAATTAGTTTTTTTTCAGACATCTCGATCAATTAAGACGAATTCATACATACATAACAGACGTAATCATCGAACTCAAGACCTTTTAGTTGATAGCAAAATCTCCTAACCAACCAGCTAAGTTGGGCTGCCAAAATTTAAATATCTCTTAGAAGCATGCACCAAAAAGAATCCATGGATATGCTCTCATGTCACTTCATAATCAAGCTTACTCTATGCCCCTCATTTGAAAAGTTGCTTATACTCTACTTAATATTTTCATAAGGAGAGAAAGAGAGAGAGAGAGGAGCAGGAAAAGTAAATAGTTGGGATTAGAATAGATATTGAAGATAACAGGAAAAGCTGATGGGAGGGAAAGCAAATGAAAACAGGCAGGCCAATTAGAAAAAGAAGACATTAAGGAAGGAATAACCTAAAGAAGAATGCCTGGGGACCTAACACTGGCCTAAAGGTCCCACATAAATAGACTGTATAAAGTAGAAATATTTATATTATAAGAGATTTTGCCTCCTCATTCCCTTCATGCATTTCCCTCTCTCTCTCTCCTCTCTTTCTCTTGCTCTCTGTCATTTCCTCCATTGTCATGTATCATTAAAGAAGGGATGGGAGGAATGAAAGAGACAACCTTCAATGCAAAAGTTTTCTTTAGGGTTCTGCTCAAAGGCTGAAAAGAGAGTTGCTTTCTTTTCTTCTTTAATTTTTTTATTTACTTTATTTAAGTTATTTGTTTATGATATTTTGGTTCTACTTGTTTGGATTTGAAAGCTCAGGTGCTCTTTGTCCGTAATGTTGCAGACAGAATGGAGGATTAAAATACACGTTTTTGCTTTTGTTAGGAAATTGCACACTGCCTTTTGGGGGATAACTATGACTAGTTGCAAATGGGAGAAATAGAAGACCACCACCGTAGGTATTGGGATTCTCTCCGATTATCACACTAATTACTTTTGCAATTACCGACCTCTAAATTTCCTTTGTTTAAGGTAAACTAAGGTTTCATTTAAGGATTAATTATTCTACGCGGACTCCGAACGTCTCTGAAAATCAATCAGGATGCGCTACATCACTCTTTTGCTGTGTACCACAGCTTGGCATTGCTCGGTACCGCTCGTTACTGCGGACCTGTCTGCACCTGATTCGCCTCCAAATATAGAGCTGCGTCCAAAATACTGTCTCTCATTTGAGACGGTTCTAAATTACTTTTTTTTTTTACTAAAAATAACTTTATAAAACAATAAAAAGCCGTCCAAAAGAAATCTAAAATTCATTCAAAAAAAAAAAAATCAGTTGACAATTTGCTTAGCATTGTCATCTAAATTGCGGGTTATGATAATTTTAAATGATTAAGATTTTATTTTGTATAGTTTTTTTACTGTTTTTTAAAATAAATTTTCAGATAAAAAAATTAAGAAATTTTTATATAAAAAATATATTAGTTAAGAATATGTGAAGATGAAAGTTGATTAAGAGTTTCTAATACAGCTTGATCAGGAGAATGCATATTCTTACTCATAGAAGTGAAAGATACTTATAAGCAAAATGATGAAATTAGAATTTTAAATATCAAAATAATAATAATAATAATAATAATGAAAAAGCTTATTTTAAATTTAATGAGATGTAAAATTTGTATAATATATATAATTATAAAAAATTAAAGATAAAATTTTAAAATTCTTAAGATTTAATTATTTTTTCATATAATTCACATCAATTATCTTTATTTTATTGGATTTATGTGAAAAATTGATATCAAGTAATTTTATCATACATGTCATTTAAATATTACTCGTCAAATTTTTTAATTGATAATAATTAAATTTTTATCAAAATATTTTTACATATATAATTTTTTCTCTTTCCCACTCTAAATATTATTTTCTTAATAATTTTGTAATGTTATTAAAAATAAAATAAAGGAAATTATTGACTATAAAGAGCTACGGTTAAGTGGGCTGAGTATTTTATTTGGATCAGCTCAAAACATGTAATTGTGTTTTCAGACAACATTGTCTATGTAGCCTTTTGTATATCAAATCCAACCTAACAAAACAGTCAGGAGATGAGGCTTAGTTAAGGCATGGGGTCCAAAATTTTGACCAAATTTATATAAAAAAACCGGGCCGGTTTAGTCTCCAAGTTCAGACCCAGCCCTAGCACTAATTGAGGACACAATTTTTTATGAAGCTTTCCCCTACACTCTTTCATGTAGTTTTAAATAAATATTATATTATTTTTTTTCAAAATTTTAATATTTGTAGGAGCAATATTGAAATTTATTTTAAGATAATTTTCTTGCTGCTTTCTAAAATAGTGAGAGCAGGTGGTTAATAATAGCCAAATAAGATGGATGCGAGGAAAAGAAGGTCATGAAAACGGTAAGCAAAGTTTCTCCCATTTATCCCAAAATCTACATCTTTATCCCTATTTTCTCTCCTTGTATTTATTTGTTTATCTTTTGCTTCTAACCTCTCATATTCGATTAATTATTTTGTACGGACACTAAACGTCGTCCATAGACAAACCAGAATGTGCTACATTACCCCTTCACTGGGTACCATAGTTCGGTACTGCTCGGTGCCTCGATACCACGACTTGATATCGCTGACATGACTAGACCGGATTTACCTCCAGACGTAGAGGTACGTCCGCCTCTTCACTAAATAATTTCTCCTCATAATATTCCCCTTTGGCAAAATTTTATTTTATTTCAATTAATAATAATCAATTACCAAATGATAATCAAGGGTTCATTGATCCAAATTATTAATAATTATAAACATATTAAAGAAAAAGTATCATCCATATCACCAATTTTTTTATTTACAAATCTAACATTCTATAAAAGTTTAGGATTAAATAAACTTACATATTACCATGCATCACAGTCAATTCATTAAAAATTATTGAAAACAAACAGACAAGAATTATAATTTCATTAAGCTTTTCAAGATTTTATGTAATCATTATAATTGAAAAGAGATAAATATCATTCCATAGATACATAAAACTTGAATGTTACACATGTGCCAATTAATTGTCACGTGTTTTCATTCATGCCCTGCTGTACATGAATGTTCCACCTGTCCTGATTAATACGGCCACGCATTAATTTTTGGTAGCATATATTTTTATTGAACGGTGCTCCTCAGATCAAGATTTATATTGCTTGATCTTAATAATAATAATAATAGTAATTAACAGTTTTCGTTTGAGACAATTTTCTTAATGCTTTTGAAGCAATTTTTTAGTACAAAATTTATTTTTAGAAGCAGCAAAAAAAATATCACAAAGAAGCCTTAGTTGCCTGAAGGTTGGCTTCATAACTGTATAGATTTGTATGGAGGACTTACACTGAAAATTAGAATGTTAACCGCATCCAGTTAAACTAATCTCCAAATGAATCTTCTACCAAGAAAATTGATCAAAAGGCCAATCAATTGATTCAAACTGAGGCTCCGTTTGGGACGGTTTTGTTAATGTTTTTTAAAGCAATTTTTTAATACAAAAATTAAAAAATTTGTACTGAAAAATTGCTTTAATAAATAATAAAGAAGCTGTCCCAAACGAACTTTTATTACGTCTGGTGTAAGGACATAGAGGAACGTCCGATTGGAGGCAAAATCCAGCCAAAAAACTCAGTATTTGCTTTGTACAACTAGGTATTATTTGATATTAACGAGAAATACCGCTCTTTGAAGACCAATACCGAGCTGTACCGAGAAATACCGAGTTGTACCGAGTTTTTCTAGCGGTACAACTTTTGTATAACTCGGTATTTCTCGATTTAGCTCGGTATAACTCGGTATTGTGTCTTCAAATGATGGTATTCCTCGTTATTGTTTGGAATTGCTTGGTATTTGCTCGGTACAACTCGTTTTTTAGCGGGATTTGGCCTCCGACCGGACGTTCCTCTGCATCCGGTCGGAGGACGTAATAATTGTTCGTCCCAAACGAAACCTAAATCATTCTAAAAAAAAAAAAAGGTAATATATCAGAATGATATGAGCCGTTCTAATTCGATAAACAATAAAGCTAACTACTTCCAAGCTTTGCAGACCATAATGAGCACATTTAGCTTGAAAGAACTCACAACTGAAACAAATCCTTGTGTCCAGAATTCCATGGCGAAACATTTAACCTGGTTTTGATCACTGGAAACATTCAATATCCAGTTTCCTGGAGACTCGTTTGAGTTTGGCGATGTGTCTTGCCTTTTCATAATAGAAGCCTCTATGACAGGTAAAAAGTTCAACTACAAGAGCGAAGTAGGACATTTTGAGCAAAAGAAGTCAGCGTAAGAACAATAACCTTGCAAGTAGTTGCTCTACTCTTCATCAATAACAAGCCAAAACCTAACTATTGATCATCACCTTCAAAACTAGAGATTTTTTCATAAACCACAACGATATCTTCAACTCACTTTCCCCCATGCAAACCCGTTCTCAAACAACCAAGGATATCAAATAAAATATATATTTTTTATCCCAGCACAGCAGAGAAAAAGAAAGAATATTGGTTGACGGTTCCTAGAAGCAGCAAACCATATAGCAAACCGACTATTTTGAGACAGCTTTGGTGGTCAGCCTAATCTAGGCTTCATTTGGGATGACTTTTTTCCTGTTTTTTAAAACGGGTTTTTAGAACAAAAATTAAAAATTGTGTACTAGAAAGCTGCTTTAAAAAGCAGTGAGAAAACCGTCCCAAACGGAGGCCAGTTTCCTATGTTTCTTGAACCAATGAGTAGTCTAGGTTCAGCACTAGAGAAATTAACGGCACATCTCCTCAAGTATGTTTGAGTGCATGCTCCAATTCTCTAAAATATAGAATGAATAAAAATACAAATCACACAAATAAGTTTAAAAAAAAAAAAAAAATCTGCTAACTTCAAACAACCAAATTCATTTTCTGAGACAGTAAAATAATCACTTGTTAAAAAGAGGAAAAGAATGCAGTCTGAGTTAATAGACGCCCATCTAGCACCTATCCATACATTAAATTGAGGAAACAAACCTTTATAGTGGGCTTCCTCACAATATTGTGATTTTCTTTTCCTTTTTTTTTTCTTTTTTCTTTTGGTGCAGCGAAGTAAGAGATTTTGTTGCGATCTTCATCAGAAGTAGAATCATCAGCGCCCTATCAGCTGCAGCACAAGATGATGAAGAAATACATTGATTTAATCGTTGATAAGGATTTCATCATGAATTATCAAGAAACATTTAACTTTAATTTAAAGGTCTTAATCATCCAGTTGCCCAAAAGTATGATAAAAGAACTTGCTTGAAGATTTATGTGCATGCTTCCCTATGTGTACAAAACGCAGCCCAAACACAAGCCATGAAAAGCCGACTAAGGCTTCGTTTGGGACGACTTTGTTATTGCTTCTCGAAGCACCGTTTTGGTACAAAAATTCTCTTTTTATTAAGCTGCTTAAGAAGCAACAAAAAAGCTGTCCCAAATAAAGCCTAAAGCACAAAAAACACATTGCTCTAGTGTCATTCCCGTGCATCAAACATCATGACATCATGTCATGCCATGCATAGTTTGACCGCTGTTTTGACTCAATCATAATCAAGGCTCAAACCATAATAATTTCAGACATTATTAAACCATGTAGGTACCATGAACCCTATAATCTAAATCAGATCTACTTACAGATCCTTTGACTTTGGTTTTATCCGGACTAAACTTCGCGCATGCAGGCCATAATAAGAACCCAAGAATCCCCATATTGCACTATACTAAGCCTTTCACGTAGGATCTGCACGATTGCAGCCAAAAGGTAGACTAGGAAATGTAAAATGATCGCAAAGACAAACAAAGACCATCGCTCATAACCTTAAGATATAGAATGCGCAATGCAGTGTTCTTTACTCTCAAAATAATTATGAAGTTCCTGGGAAAAGTTGACACTGCTGTTTTTAACTACCATTTTCATTAGATACAACCCCCACGTCTCTAATATAATTCATTTTCACTCAAAACCTAATTTTATCACAACCATTTGAACATTTCCTAACTCAATATGTTTGTTAGTTTGTCACCACCCTTGAAGTCATACACATTGCACTTCCAAGTTACTTTCTTATTTTAAACACATACTTCCAACTCGAGAAGTGATGCCCTCATCTAAATTTAAATCTTTTGCATAATAAATTCAGTGTACTTAAATCTATCATATTTACACATCTATTGATCTTCCAGTAACTCTGTCTAATAAACAATCTACTAAAACTAGGCAACTGTGTTATGAAACAAAAATTGCCTTCATAATTTGAATTTAAACTGGGATCACGCCCCATGCTTATGTGACAACTAAGGTAATGATTACATTAACGCTAAACACTGTAATCCCGCAAGTGGAAGCTAAAGTTTTAAACCCAAATATAACAAATTATTTGCAGAGATAAAGCATTTCACCCAAAAACAAGTTAACAAAGTGGAATACCTTATATCAAGCTACGCAGAAGATAAAATGTCACGTGTTAGATAAGAAGAATCAGGTGTTAAGGTGCTAATCTTAAAAATTACACATCAAGTGACATTTAAGCAGCTGAAATAATGAAGAGCCCCATGTGAAATTCCACAAGATATTTAAAAATCAAAATAAAATTCCACAACATATAACACCAAAGCGAAATAATTGGCATTAGTTAAATTTGAAAAAATCCAAATCACGCACATACACCACCACCAACAACAACAACAACATCAAGCCTATATCCTACTACGTCGGGTCGGCTACATAAATCCTTTTTCTCCATTGTGTCATGTTAAAAGTCAAATTCTCATTTAAATCTAAAAAAGAAAGGTCATTTCTAATATTTCCTAACCAAGTCTTTTTAGGTCTAACCCTACCTTTCTTAACATAAGTCAAATCTAACACATCTACTTTCCTAATTGGGCATCGGAAGGCCGCCATTTTATGCGACCAAACCATCTAAGGCGACTCTCTCTAATCTTATCTTCCATTGGAGCTATTCCAACCTTTTCACGTATATGCTCATTTCGTATCCTATTTCTAAGAGTAAAGCCACTCATCCACCCAAGCATCCTCATCTATGCAATACTAATATTATGCTTCTCTTTTAATGCCCAGCATTCTACACCATAAAACATTACAGGTATCATCACTATCTTATAGAATTTCTCTTAAGTTTGAGGGGGGTTTTTCTATCACACAATAGGCCCAATGCATTCCTTCACTTCAACCATCCAACTTGAATTCTACTAATAATATCCTCATACATTTCACCATCACTCTGAATAATAGACCCAAGATATCTAAAATGTGTACTATTATTTATAACTTGATCATCCAAAGTCACAATCCCCCATTAGATCTATTACCACTAAAGTTATACTCCATACATTCGATTATAGATTTATTTAAATGAAAACTTTTAGACTCTAAGGTTGACCTCCATAATTCTAATTTACCTTCAACTCCCTCTCTAATCATATCAACAAGAAGAAAATCATTAGCAAAAAGCATACACCAGGGTAAAACCTCTTGCAAATGTCTAGTGAGAGCATCCATGACTAAAGCAAAAAGACATGGGCTTAAGGCTACTCCTTGATGTAATCCAACAATAATAGGAAAATACTTGGTCAAACCACCTTGTATTTGAACAGAAGTAACAGCTCCTACATACATATCCTTAATGACTTGAATATAAGCATTATTAACCGCTTTCTTTTCTAGAACTCTCCATAGCACTTCCCGTGGAACTTTATTATATGCTTTCTCTAAATCAATAAAAATCATATGTAGATCCCCTTATTCTCTCTATACTTCTCCATCAAACCTCTCAATAAATGTACAACTTTTATAGTAGACCCACCCGGCATGAATCCAAATTGATTTTGAGAGACATTAGTATCACGTCGTAATCTATGCTCCATAATTATCTCCCATAGTTTTAAATTATGACACATTGAACTAAATTCCTTTATAATTCGCACAATCTTCTGCATAACTTTTATTCTTAAAAATTAGAATCGACACACTCATTCTCCATTTATCTTGCTTCTTTTTAATCTTCAAAATACATTAAAAAGTTTAGTAAGTCAAGAAATTAGGGCTACAAGTGAAGCAAGCGTTCGACGAGCTACGCGTTGCTCGGTTCGATTGAAGCTTGAATATTATTTAAATACTCAATCCTTCAATAATGTGTTCGACTCATTTATGTTCACGAACATCATCATTTAAAGCTCGTGAACAAACTCGATAAGAAGCTGATAATAAGCGAACACAAACATGAAAATGCCCAAACTCGGCTCGACTCGATTTGTTTGCAGTCCTACAAGAAATTCCTTCATCTATTAAGCATTTCCGCACCTCCATTGGAATATCATCAGGTCCAACAACTTTTTCACACATCATTTTCTTTAAAGTCTTTATAACTTCAATTTTACTAATATGCTGATAAAAACAAAAATATTTATTTTCATTTAGGCTGTAAAGTCACTAAAATCAATCGTATTCTTATAATCTTCATTAAAAAAATTTAGCAAAATATCTTATCCACCTTTGTTGAATATCCTCTTTTATAAAAGCACTTTTTGATCTTCATCCTTAAAGTATTTCACTTGAACTAAATTCTTACTACTTTTATCTCTTTGATTGACTAACTTATACATATATCTTTAGTCCTCAGTATCTAATCTACTATATAAATCATTAAAAGCTAAAATCTCTGCATCACACATTACTTCCTTAAACGCCTTACGGGCCTCTTTATATCTATCACAATTATCATAATTTTTACATCTAAAGTCTAAACCAATTATTATAATAAATCTTCTTATTTTTTTATCATTTCTTGCATATTCTGATTCAACCATCAACTATTTTGACTATTATGAGCTTTTTCTTTTGATACTCCAAACATATCTTTTGTAACATTCTTAATATCACCAACTACTTTTTTTTCACATAACATTAACTTCATCGTGCATAGATAAAATATTAAGATTTAAAATCGTACTCTCAAAAATATTTTTATTAATATTTTTTAAATGCCGCTATCTACTCCTAAAATAACATTTATTTTATTTTTTATTTTCTGACCATTCATCTTAAAGTCTAAAATTAATAAACGATGATGGGTACATAAACTTTCACTTAGAACAACTTTACAATCTTTGCAATCTAAACGATTAATTTTTTTATAAGAAAATAAACAATCTAAATTTTACTATATCAATTCTCATAAGCGATGAGATTCTCATCTCTTTTCGTAAATAAATTATTGGCAATTACAAAATCATAACCTATAAAAAAATCTAATATGATCTTTATCACCTTCATTAGTCACAACAAACTCATAACCATCATGAATATTTTTAAAATCATCTACCTTTCTACCAACATCTCCATTTAAATCTCTTTTAATTAAAACTCCCTTTTCAAGATGTATCTTTTATATTAATTTTTCTAAATCATTTTAAAATTTTAATTTTGAACACATATTAAAACCTTACTTGAGAAGCATAAGAACTTAATATATTAATAAACCTAGAATCAATAACAATCTTTAAAGCTATAATTATATCTTCAATTCTATTAATTTTTACAATATTATCCTTCAAACTCTTATCTATGATCACACCTGCACCATTTCTAGTAAGACTCCTAGCAGAATACTATAATTTAAATCCTAAACTATCAATCTTCTTAGCCTTCTCTCCAACCCATTTTGTTTCTTAAATGCATATAATATTTATCTTCCTATGAATCATAATATCTATTAATTTTATTAATTTGCCTGTAAGAGAATCTATATTCCAAGTTTTTATCCTAATTTTAGTTTCATGGATTATCTTCTTTACACACATCCATTCATGATGTGAGAACCCTTGCCTATTTAACACTGCACCCGGGCGCCGATGCAACGACCTTTATACACTTGTCGTTGTATTCATGCCATATAGCGCGTCGCTTCCAGGGAATATCCTAACATTAACACAATGTATTAAAAGATCCATGTCATAATTATTCGACAAGTTTTACATTGGTAACCATGTACTTTTCTCATCCAGAACTAGGGATCTGACAACGCACGTACACCAGTCATAAATTGAAAGATCTAAGTCATACTTGTACAGGAGATTTGCCTCTCAAAAGAAGTCAAAACATGT